TGTCCCCGGTGTCACCTGTTTGCTGCTCTGGGTGTTGATGAAGGTCAGGTCCTCCATGGTCAGGATGATTTTGTTGGGGCCCTTCATGAGCTGCGCCTGCTGGATGCGGCGCCTGCGGGGACAGCAGGGGGACGGTGGGGACACTGAGGGGACAGCGGGGACACTGGGGACACTGGGGACACTGGGGACATTGGGGACATTGGGGACATTGGGGACAGTGGGGACATTGGGGGATTGGGGACATTGGGGACATTGGGGGGATTGGGGACATAGGGGGGATTTGGGACATTGGGGACAGTGGGGACATTGGGGACACCCAGGGGACAGGGGGACTGCAGCAGCACTCCAGTATGGGGACATCAAGCTGCCAGGACCACCAGGGCCACCAGGACACCAGGGGACACCAGGGGACACCAGGTCCACCAGGGACACCAGGGCCACCAGGGACACCAGGGACACCAGGACACCAGGACACCAGGACACCAGGACACCAGGACCACCAGGGCCACCAGGGCCACCAGGGCCACCAGGACACCAGGACACCAGGACACCAGGACACCAGGGACACCAAGGGACACCAGGACACCAGGGCCACCAGGGACACCAGGACACCAGGACACCAGGGCCACCAGGGCCACCAGGGCCACCAGGGCCACCAGGGCCACCAGGGACACCAGGACACCAGGACACCAGGGCCACCAGGGCCACCAGGGCCACCAGGGACACCAGGACACCAGGACACCAGGACACCAGGGCCACCAGGGCCACCCACCGGATGTGGCAGGCCAGGGCGGCGCCGGCCGCGATGAGGGCGGCGATGAGGAGGAAGAGGAAGAAGACGAAGCCGGCGTCCATCCCTGCGGAGAGAGCACCGAGTGACCACGGTGACCACTGAGTGACCACTGAGTGACCAGAGTGACCACTGAGTGACCACTGAGTGACCACTGAGTGACCCTGAGTGACCAATGAGTGACCACTGAGTGACCACGGTGACCACTGAGTGACCACTGAGTGACCACTGAGTGACCAATGAGTGACCACTGAGTGACCACAGTGACCACTGAGTGACCACGGTGACCACTGAGTGACCACTGAGTGACCAGAGTGACCACTGAGTGACCACTG